TATATTCTAGGGGACTATAATAGTGTTATATGTTCTGACTCATGGCATTCTCAGATGGTCCAAAGACAACTGAGAGCCCAATGATTCTTTCAGGAACTAAAGAGATATAAACTTCCTTCATAGTAATGTTATGACATAATTTACCCTCCACATAGCGAGTTTTCCACATGCCATGTGGCACATACTAGCCTCATAGACGAAAACCACTCAGCTGTCTTCTATTAACATGACATTTCAAAATTTGCAAGAAATACATTTGAAAACAAAAACAAAAAGTAAACTACAATGCCACTGTTTTTGTTTATTCATTTATAATATATGACTTCTATTTAATTATATATATTTGTATTACATTATATATTATATATATGCTAGAATATATATTGATATCCAATAACTTTACTATTATTATAGTTGATTACCTTCAAATTTCTGTTTTAATTTCTAATACAATAGAGTCATGTGACCTGTAAAGATAATATAAGGTTCCCACCCATGTCAAAGTATGTAAGTGACTTATGCCTATCATACTAGCTACTCAGGAGTCTAAGATCCAAAGGACTATGATTGGAAGTTAGATCAAGTAGAAAGGTCCGTTATACTCCTGTTCTAATTTGCCACCAAAATGCTCCATTGAGGGCATGTCTGAAGTGGCAGAACACCAGCCATGAGTAAGCAAGGTGAGCAACAGTATATGAAGCTCTCTAGTTCAAGCACTGGTACAGGCACAAAACGTCTACAGATGTCTGCAGTCCAAGAAGTTTTAAAATGGTGTTAAATAATCAATGAGTTTAAACAGCACAAGAAATCCTATTTCAGGGAAAAGATGATGGTCCTTAAGACATAAAATGGAGTTTTGCAACTTCAAAGACATACTATAGTTCACTTTAGAAAACACAATTAGACTCAACCCATATTATTTCTATGAAAAAGAGTGAATTAATACATAGAACAAACTTAATAACAATATGAACTTATTACAAAATAAGTACTTCATTTGCACACTTTGAAGGACTCTAAATCATATTGTATGTTTGCAATGTCTTAAAATTCCATATACTCAGAACTCTGCCAAAATGTATGCAGCTGGAATGATTGTGGGCTCTTGACAAATGGGTATACATGTCTGTGTGAGGAATATGGTGTGAAGGAAGGCTTGTGGCAGAGCTTCCCAATGAACATTTGCAGATAATAAGCAGTACACATCCTTCACTGCTAATGACACCAATTGTAAGACAGAAGTTTGGAAGCTGGATGACAGCAGCAAACTTATTATCCATCACAAAAGGGAACAGAGAGCAATATTCAAATTTGGAAAGTGTGAGTATCTCAATACCAAGATATTATCATTTTTTGCTTTATTAGCGTGTGTAAAAATAAAGATCTGGGGCAGGGAAGGTGGCTCAGTAGTAGAGTGCTTGCCTTGAATGCATGAGGGCCCAGGTTCAATTCCTCGGTACCACATAAGCAGAAAAAGCCAGAAGTGGTGCTATGGCTCAAGCGGTAGAATGTAGCCTTGAGCTGAAGAGCTGAGGGACAGCGCCCAGGCCCAGAGTTCAGGCCCCATGACTGACAAAACAGTTAATAAAATAAGATAAAATAAAGATCAGAAATTCCACCTTTATTATAGCACTAGGTCTATCTTGTTTCATCTATCTCTAGGAAAAGAACCTAGAAAAGTGATTGACTTATTAGAGCTATTCAGATCTAAAGAAAGGAGCTAATACCCCTCTTCGTGTTCTCTAATTGCTAACTGAGATAGTCTTATGTTCAAGGTTTTTACTGTCACCATTCACTTATAACACTATACAATTCCATAGAGAAGACTGAATTGGTATGTGCCAGGAGTGCAAACACCAACAGTGAATTTCAAGTATTCATCTCTGTCCTCAGACTAATGCTCTTACATATGCATATGCTTGCTCGCTTGTAGTATTTTATTTTTTCCTCCATGATTTTCTACTACACACAATTTATCAAATTTACTAGTCATTCTACCTGGTTAATATTGTTCACATATTTTTGTATCTTGCTTTCCTTTCTACATTAATGTCTACTCTTTATTTCTTACTAACTTGTACCTTCTGTATTATAGTTGGGACAATCTTGTTGTTTCTCATTTCATCATACTGCCTTGAATGGTTTTCATATAATTAAATTACTTTTGAAATTTCTTGTGATGTCAAGGTTCTAATACATATACACAGAGAAGTACACATGTGTATATGTATATGTGTTAAAGAGAGTTAAGGAATTATAACTCATCCACAATATAAGAGGAAAATAGACAAAGATCTCTTCCAGCCCAGGGAAATGCACAGGAGTAAAATTCAGGTGGGATGGGACATTTCCCTTTATTTTCCTTCAAAGTACAAAAGAATGAATGGAAAAAGAGTGTTAGATTTACTTGACATCTGAGGAGCATATGCATTTCAAGCTGAGGCCTTGGAGAAAGAATCTGTATTGATTAGAACTATATTGGAACAAGAGCCCCTTAAAATACCCATCCTCACAGACCACAGAGAGAGTCCATGTCCCTCTGGTTTCATGTACAACAGTTTGGAAACTGCTATTCTAGATTCCAATGGATAGCAAAACATTCTCCTGCTTATTTTCTCATCTATCACATTAATTTTTCTCATCTTCTTTCCATTTGCTCCATTACCTACTCATATAATCGACTTCCCATTTCTTCAGTATTTATCACAAGGCAGCCTACACATTCCTGTCTTCACACCTTTCTTTACAGACCTCACCACAATAGTTTGTGCACAATTGAAATATGAATCATAGATACTAGGCAGAAAGTTCCTTTCTGTAGGAATTAAATAGTGAAACCATCATTAATATAGTTATTACATAATGAAACAAGAGTTTAAAACCTTTCTTCAGTTTTCAAGAGAGTGAGTAACACGATCATCAACTCTATTCTCATCTTCAAACGTATGGAAAAATCAGAATGAGTCCTGGTGGTTCAAACTGAGATAACCAGGAATCTGGCACCAAAATATAACAATAGAACTAAAATCAATTGTAATCAGACATTCCATTATCTATTAGAACTAGTGTAAGTAAGTATATAATCTCCTTGAATACAGATAAAACTTATGAACACAGTGAAGCAGTCACTGTGATTAAGTAACATTACACCACACAAACATGATTATTTTCATCTGAAAGATATAAGTTGGCCTCTTGATATCTACTATCATTTTCTTAGAACTGATATATCATAAAAATCTACTATAACACAACCCTCAAGAGTATTGCATGTAACTTATTTAAGTTATCTTGTTCCTCTTTAGCTAGTTCCTCTTTAGAAAAGAAAGTGGAAACTAGTTAACAGGAAACCTCATATCCATCTTATTTCTTTCCTCTCCCAATAGCCTTTAGAAATACAACCAAGAGTGATTTAGAACCAATGAGGAGGGTGACACTCTGATTAATGGTGTGTGTACACCAGTTGAATATGAAGGTGATTGTGTATGTGTACGTGTGTATATGCATGTGTGCCTCCATGAGTATCACTCCACACAACTCTTAAAAGAGTACCTAAAATATGGAAAGGAAGTAGTTAGGCTGCTGTATCTAACTGAACTAGACATGGAAAGATTAATATTTTTAAAGAAGTTAGTGAGTAGCATTAACCAAGTCTATAAATAGAAATACTGTTACAAGTACCATCTTTTATCTTAAAGCACAAAACAGATGATTCAACCTCCTTGAAACATTGTGTTTTACTGTAAGAGGCTTCAAATTCTGCAGTTATTTTACACATGCCAGGCACATCCCCTTCCTATAGGCTTTATGAACTGCCTCAAACATTTCCTTATATTAGCAGACCTAAGTGGGAAGACATTTACCTTGTCAGTAAAACAATGAACAATATTTAGGAATGGTTTGTCACTAGAATATCTCAATCAAGTTACTATAAATAACTGTGCAATTATCTAGATATATTTGGTTAGATAGTTGCAAATATATTTGCAAGAAAATACGTAACTGCATGTATTCTGGGTAGGGTATTTGATCTTATAGATTTCTCTCTTCTTTGAAAATAAAAAGCCTATATTAAATTATTATGCAGCATAATTTCAAAAAATACATGTCTGTGTGAAGCCCTGAAAGAGAAGACACAAATTTAAAGGGTTATAATAGATAAGAAACTATTTTGCATGCACTCAGAAGAGCTGGGTAAGGGCCAGCTTCAAGAAAAGGATCAAAGGAAATGCTAAGAAACAGATTGAACGAGAATGCAGGCTGTGTACAAGGATAGCCAGAGAAGTGAGGATCAGCTTCTAGAGATTAAAGACATCTGTGAGAAGCTTCTGCTCCACTTACTGTGCTTCTTTGCAGCCTGTCATTCACTGTTCTATGTCTCCAAAGAGAAAACATACAGCTAGGATCCAAGATTGTAAGGGAACGATCTCAGGCCTTAGTTTATCCTGTCCTAAAATGTTTGTGATGTAGCACAATTCCCTGACCCTTTCCTTCCTCTCTGGATATATTTTTCATTAGATTATTGATCTTATACTAATATTATTATTTAATTCATTTATTTTTGTCAGTCCTGGGCCTTGTACTCAGGTCCTGTGTGCTGTCCCTGAGCCTCTTTGTGTTCAAGGCTAGCCCTCTACCTCTTGAGCCACAGTGCCTGCCCAGGCTGGCTTCGAACCAAGATCCCCTGATCTCAGCCTCCTGAGTAGCTAGGATTACAGGCATGAGCCATCAGCACCCAGCTCATAATACTATTAATAACATTTTTTCTCCTAAGTATAATTGTTTTTAAAATATAAATATATGCATATGTATTCCTTTCAAAATAAGAGCTTTCCCATTCTTTTAAGATTAGATAGGATTATGCAACATTTTTAAAATAGTAAAACCTACACACATTAAAGTATCAAGTGAAATAGCTGCTAACCTGTTTGACTAATAATTGCCTGCTTAGATCCAGTCTAAGAGAGGAAAAGGAAGCAATAAATTTGGCCCTAACTTACCACACATTTTAATTGCACAGTACTCCCAAGGGGTGTCAGGGTCAAGAGTATAGCACCATGGCCTCGGCTTGCCATCAGGATTGCGGCAATAATTATCATCAAAGCCCTTGTCGGGATATCTGCAAACCACACCAAGAAAAGTGTCACGTAAATCTGCCTGGAACACCATGGAGCCCTCAGCCTATACAATAACTTCCCACTTAGCTTGGCTACTACTAGCTGGGGAAAGAGCAGCTTTACCAAGACTGTCAATCATCCACTATCAAATTTACTAACTTACATATTCCACTAAGTGTAGAGTATCATCTTCATTGCTCATTAGTTAGGTCCTTTTGTTACCTGACCACCAGTTCAGGTCCTGAACTGAGTGCCTCTCTCACAGAGCCCAATTAAGGACAAATTCCGATGCATGACCTCCTGCACAATTCTCATTAAGGAAACAGGTCCTCTTTTAGGGCAGGCTTGAGTTCAAACTGAAAGTTGGGTTTCAATAGCTCTGTTACTAATGATAGCTCAATTTTAGAAATAGAGCCTTTCTAGGTCATGGCCTCCCATCCAGCAGAGCAAGAGACAAACCCCATCACACCACCTAACTTTTCCACAACCACCTCCCTCTAAATTAACTGTATTCAATCGTGACTTGATTTTAATTGCTACCATATTCTTCTGTTCTAATTTTTTAGAGATGCATTTACAAAATAAACTAAAAATTTTAATATCATTGGAAAGCGTAAGAAGCCAAAACCAAACAAAAACAAAAAAAGGGAGGGGAACAAAATAAGCCACCTCATATCAATATCCATAGGAAGACAGAGAAGGGGGTTTTGTTTCTAATGTTTTGTGTTTTTATTCTTAGTAATAAAAATAAAGGATTTTGGCTGAGTATGGTTATACATGCTTGTAACCCCAGCTACTTGGGAAATAGAGGATGAGGACTTTAAGGCCAGCCTAGATGAAGGTAGAAGAAAGATACTGCCTCAGAAACAAAATAAAAACTGAAGGTCTGGGTACATAGCTTAAGTGCCTAGTGTGAACGTGGGCCAGTGCTCAAACTCTAACACGCCAACATAGAAAAAAATGAAAAAATTGTTTTTACTTAAAACTTTCTTTTTCTTTTTTCTTCTTCCTTTCTTTCCTTATTTCTCTCTTCCTCTTTTCTTCTCTCCTTCTTCCTTCCTGTCTTTCTTTCTCTTCCTTCCCTTCTCCTTCTATCCATCATTAATTTTCCTTTCTTCTATTTTCCTTGCTTCCTATTTTCCTATTTCCTCCTTCCTTTACTTTATCCTTTCTTCCCTCCTTCCTTTCTTCCCTCTCTTCCTGTATCCTTCCTTCCTTCCTTCCTTTCTTTCTCCCTCCCCCCTCCTTCCTTCCTTTGTGACAGTAAAGGGTTATAGACTCAGGGACTCCTGCATGCTTAGTTCATTTGCTCCATGTTGGTGCTTTACCACTGAGTCACACCTCCAGTCTAGCCTTTCATGTTATTTTGAAGATAGACTCTCTCAGACTTTTCTGCCTGGGCTACCCTTAAATCTGGAGCCTCTCGATCTTAACCTTCTCAGTAGCAAGGATTGTAGGTATGATCAGCTGTCCCTCAACATAACATTGCAATGTGAAATGAATGAACAGAAAAAGATAAATATTTTTATTGTTGTTAACTAGGTGAGATCAAAATACTTTCATGGGGAAAAAGTAGATTAGTTGTTTGACTTCTCTAAAATACCTGGCCTTATTTAAAATTGTACAACACACTAGGGTTTCTGAGTTTCTGAAGGTGTTGCTGTAAGTAACTTGCTTATATTTAGCAATAGTCCCTCCTCCCACAGGACCAATGTTCCACATGGTCATTATTGAACTGAATTGCCTTCTCTCCTGATTTTTTTACCTTATGGAAGATTCAGACAAAGTTTTTGTTATTGTTCCTCTCTGTGTCCTATAATAGTCTTGTGTTCAACATCTTCCTGATTTTAGAACTCATCCTAGTCAGCTAAGACCAATTAAAATGGTTGTCATTGTCCTCATAGACTCCATAAAACCCCTAAGACTACTTCTTCCAAACATAAATGCAGTAGCAACTATTTAAGAAGAGGCTTGAATCTTCAGGGTAATTCTAAATTGTAATTCAATTCTCTATCAAGAAAACATCATAACAGCATCTCATGGAGCAAATAACAGTTTATACAGAGAAACATTGGAATCAAGATTTAATGAAATTTTACCTTTCTGGCAAAAACTTGTGCCGGTGTGGTGTCTGATGATCCCAACGCTGGCAAATCTTGCCTGATTCAGTATGATCCATAGGCCCTCGATAGCTTTCCCCATTGCAGGTCATACATTCAACTGATAACATGAAAGGATAGAATGTTAATTGTTTCTGGCAGCAAAGCATAGACACCACTGCTCCATTTAGGGAATAGTAACACAATTGTTTAGTAAACAAATTGTTTGACAACTCTAAATATCATCCTAATTGGGGCCTAATCTCCACAAATAGTAGCATACAATACATCCTATACAATGCATTATAACTTTCAAGGGGATATTTGTAATTAATGTCATATAGGTCTACCATTGAGGACAGAATGATCAATATATACTTTTTCAAGAACTATTCAAAGGCACATGGAAACTAGAAATATAAAATAATCTTTGGTGACTTTTCGATTGTTGGTTAAAAATGCAAGAGTCTCAGCATAGTAATTCTTTCAAACTTGCCCTCCAAACAATTTGAATTACACAATTTCATATTCCATAATCAAAAATTAATTTTTTTAAAAAACAACTTCAGAAATAGAACAACTGGTACAATTTAAAGGCCACAATTATCTTTTTAAAAGAAATTTCAATTCTATTCTAATAGAGAGCATTCATTCTGTTAGTTGAGTAGACAGGACAAGTTTATAGTCTTACCTACCTTAGCAAAGAAGATGACCTGCTATCGAACTCCGTGTACTCATTCTTTTTAAAATGTATAAGCTGATCTAATTATACAGGATATTATTGATGATTCTGTGACTTAACTAATTATTCTCTTCTGGCTATTTTCTTATGTCACACTGGAAACCTGTATCATATCAACTAGCTGAAAATGAGACTTCTCAAATAGAAGGTTGCTTTGTAGTGCAGCAAGCATGCTGTGGAATAAATCTTTGCTTGGCTTTTGTAGGAATCCGGCAAATTTCCTCAAACACATCATTTGTATCTTGTGATTACTGTTCATTTAACTTTAGCTGAAGTGAGGAAAGATATCCACTGGAATCTTTCCTAATAAATATTTGTAGCAATTTGGTAAAGTGTATTAAAACTCTCTTCTGAAAATCTATTTTTAAAATGCAATGTAACAAGACATAAAGATTAACTTTCTGAAATATATGATCTATCCATTCATCCATTTGGTACATCTACTTTCTTTCATTTGTGTTAATTCATGAACTAAGACAAGGACTAATTCAGCTTACCCTTCTTTGATACTGCATCCCCACAACACAATCAGTAAGCACTTGGCCTATAAATGAGAGGGGTCTAAGAACATGTTGACCGAAACCTTCAGGTTGGCCAACATCACTTCCCATGTTGAAATGTTCAACACAGATTATGGGTCATCATATTTCAGCTTTCCATTTAAGTGGCTCCCACCTTCATTTAGTTCCCTTTTATATTAAGAACAAACAATGCAAAATTTGATATCTTTAATGCAAATAGTTTAGTATTTATTATGACTCTTTGTTCTTTTATAATGAATGCAAGAGTAGAGTAAACTACAAATGCCTAGCTTCTACTCTTATATGGGACCTACTCAAGATTCAAATTATGTTTACTGTAATTCTCACAGCATTAGTAGTATATATAATTTTAATGAAAGTGAATATATTTATTTTCTGGGGAAATATACTATGGACATTATTATAAAACATTTTCCTTATATTTAAAGATTCATAATAAGTTTAAGGAAAATAGCTACACAAATGAAATCCATGACTATAATGTGACTATTTTCCATAATGAACATGTAATTCAATGCTTTTGTAAACATAATGTGGATAAATATCACCATTAGTTCTAGTTCAATGATAAATTTTGACTATGTAAGCATATTCAAGGGCATTGATATAAAAGCTCTCAGTGGATGCTGATACTGCTAAGTGATTGGATCTCACTTTGCATAGCACATTTTCAGATACTGTGATTCTAAAGTTGTTTTTGGTAGTGATAACACTTTAGGAGATTTTACTTGGAACTTGATGGTACATGATAGTTGAATAAAGTATAATGGGAAAAACATAAAACTAAAATGTTGCACTAATACGATAAAAATAAAAAAAACAAGTTAGCAAGAATGTTAGATTTGGAAAGCAAATGAAAACTTTTGTTATATTTGGAATAAGACATATCCTGTGATAAATCTGAAATGTTAAAATACTGTAGCTATATCATCATAAATTATTTATCCTATACCTTTCACATTTAAGATATGGTTTGATAAGTATATTGAAGTAAACAGGCTTATGTACATTGTTAGGGACTAACCTAAAACAGAGCACATTAAGCCTGTGTCTAGAAGAGAGGTCTTCAGAACTATAATCTACAGTCCATTCCATTACCGAAGATTTTACTTTTGTGCTACATACTTTAGCTTCTTAAAAATACTAACCAGGCAGACTGATAATGTGGTTTTATAAGGACAGATTCCCTGCTTTTTTTTAAATAAATTTCTGCATTAACCTCTACTTTCTTACAAGAATACATTCCTCTCCTGTTGAAGGATAAAAAAGGCCATGGGAAAGCAACTAGATTGGGCAGTGTGTACGAGGCAAATGACAGAGAAGTTTGTTGCATTATCACTGAATCAAACTCTGATGGTTACAAAAAAAAAGTGCCTCAAGTGAACCACATTTTAAACTCACTTTTCAAACTTTTGGAATTCTAAGAGTCTTCTGTTTTTTCCCGGTAAAAATCAAACAGGTATAGGTGGAAACCAAGTCCAACTTCTACAAAAACAGGTAAAAGTTATGACCTGTGTAATTGGGCAGGGAATAAAAATTGTACCTTGGGCTGTTGCATAATTTAACTTTTCCAGTAAGCCCTTCACTTCTCAAAACAAAGGTATTATTCTCTATAGTGTAAAATGAAACTAAGTAAGAATTTCATAAGTATAACCTTCTAATCACAATTCTGGCTTGATAGGAAAAAGCTTTTTAAAACATACAAATTAGAATATAAATATTCATTGAGCAATTTGTATCATGCTAAGTAACTAAACTAAAAATATTATGTACTATTCTCAAGCATAAGTCTACAAGTGGTGTGAGTTTTCATAGTAAAACAGATTAAGTATTTAAATCTATGCTGAATCAGTATTTTATCCTGGTAAAGGTTACCTCTTAGGAAAACCCAACAGTCAATTTGTTCAGCAAAACTGTGTGATTAAAGTAAGAACACTTTCATCAATCCCCTTTTATATAAAATTTTTGTTTTTAAATCTTTGTTTTTAAAAGTCTTTTTCCACATATAGTATGTAATTTTACGTAAAATGACAGTATTATTTGGGATTTAAAGTATAAGGTAACTTAAAAATAATGGTTCTGACTTAATTAAAATTTATTTATATGACTATTTAGCAATCATTAAAATTGACGCTTGTTTCAATTACAATGATTATTTTAAACATAAAATACTAAATAATAAATTTAGGTTTTCTATACCTCAGGTTTCAGCAACAAATTAAGTATTGTTGATAGTAATTTTTTGTGTGCATTTTATGTGAAGTTTTTTCTTCCTTGAGTCTAGATAAAAAGTACACATATTTTGTGAAGTACAGTATGCACACATTGTAGATTAGCTAAATTTAGCTAAAGACAAACATGTTTTAGTTCATAGTGTTATTTTTGTTCTGAGTACACTTCTTAGCCAGTCTCATTATTTTTTGAGAACACAATATATTAACTATTGTCAAAATGTTGTATAATTGGCTTTTTGAGTTTGTTACTACTAAAAAAAATCTAAATGTGGTAAGATCATTCAGTTTCTTTTGCAAAGACTAATGGACTTCAAAATTTTTAATTAATTAATATTTTAATAATTTAATTAATTAATATTAATATTAAGCTTTGTGTATCAGATACAATGCAATTATGAACCAAATTTTTAAACAATTTTCAGACATTCAATCAATTTGCCAAATATTGTTACCCAAATTTTTAAACATATATACTATTCTATATGTCTTTTGTAAAAAGTAATATTGATCACAGGTACTTGCCTTGTGATCAACTTTAATTTTAAATATACAAAATGATTTAGTCATTGCTATTTCACACATAATGAATGATATACACTTTGATAAATTAATATTCATGGATAGAAGTGGCCCACATGTTCATTATACTGTTTTAAATATGCTGGATGTTATGATTACTCACTTTTGTATGCATCCTAGTAATCATTGACACCATATCTGCATTTTTTATGTTTTGTGGTATCCATTGTATACATAGCTCTTTTTATTCTCTATGAATGTACTAACACTACTATTTACTTTGGATAATTTTCATTAAAAGCCTGCAGAGTTCACCTCATATTCCCTGCAATATGTTTTGTCTACAGGGCAGGTGCTAGTTCACCTCTTCTACAGGAGGCCCCTTCTACTCCTGCCAGCCTCCTAATTGTTTCCAGAAAGAGTGAATCTGAAAGCTAGTGTCCAGGAAGCAGAATGCCTTGTGGGTCTTTAATACTATTAAGCAATGTCCTCATCTAAGGGAGGTTTGGTCACCTCAAATTTTCTGTAATAATTTAATACCAGATAATTACATTATGATAAGCATGGTTTAATTAAAAACAGTTAACAATTATATTTTGGGGGCTGGGAAGGTGGCTTAGTGGTAGAGTACTTGCCTCATATGCACGAGACCCTGGGTTCGACTCCTCAGCACCACATAAACAGAAAAAAGCCAGAAGTGTCACTGTGACTAAAGTGGTAGAGCACTAGCCTTGAGCTGAAGAGCCAAGGGACAGTAACCAGGCCCACGACCAACAAAAAAAAAATTACATTTTTGTCAATGATTTGTGATCTCAGAAAACTAATGCTGGGTATTTTCCTAAAAGTAGGGTTTTGCTTGTCCCATGTGCAAACTGAAGACAAATATTAACTAGAGACTTATTCATACAAAACAGACTTATTCATTATGTTATCACAATGAGTTTATTATTTGAAAGGAAAAGAAAACAATGAATAGGGAACAGAATGTGACACAGAATGGAAAGTAAGAATTTACAAACCAAGATGGAACTGATTTGAGCACATGAAGGTTTTTAGATTAAATAACAACAAAAAACATAATTCAGCTTCTCTGTGACAATTTGCTAACAATGGCCTTTACTTGTTAAGCGATAAAAATCAGCCTTATATCAAGTGGATGTTCATGGAGGATATACTTTAAAAAATGTTTCATTAACAGGTAAGCTATCTTAGTACAAAAATCAGACAGTACTCAGTAATCCCAATTCCCATCCCTAAGTAGTTCAAAAATCCTAATAAATTTCCTAAAATAATTTAATCTGCTTTTCTTTTGGATTGGAGGAATTTTAGGGATGTTGATGGAAGTAAAAATAGAGCAATTCAGTAGGCAAATAACTAAGAGAAAACAAACCATTATACAATGCTAAAAATGGATATTGTCCATCATTCAGTTATCTACTGTAGAAGTACTGGCAATGCCTTTTGGTGCTATGTGAAGAGATAAGAACACAGGCATGGATGGAAGCCACTGCCTTCAAAGACGGCCTGGGATTCACTGCTTTGGTCTCTTCAGGCACTATTTTGAATGTCACTCAGTTCCAGTCTATGTATCAAATGCAGTTCTAGTCACATTTTCATCAAAACACACATGGGGTATTGATCTTGAAATGAACCCCTTTAGTGTTCTCTCCTGGATACACACATTTGTTCATAACACACCACAATCATTTTGACCAGATTTCTACAGAAGTAGATACTGGATGAACAGTCATTGGGATTCCTAATAAGAGCTAATTCCATTCAGCTGTTTCTATCTAGAAGAGCAGACTTCTGAGGTAGGTGAGCAAGTAAGTAAGTAAGCTCACAGATATTCTCCCCAAACACATGACTCAGGCTCATGTTGAAATTCAAACTGATCATCACTCTACTGTTTTGCATTAGTTTGGTCATTTGAAAAACATGGTGTGAGAATGTCTTATAACTATTGACCTATGGTTGAATTGGAAGGCAAGGCCCATTGTATTGTGGTGGATTCATTCCTGTTTACTTTTCAAGTGAGTACAGTGCTACATATGAGGGGAATAAGATGCCCACACGGCATTCATGTTCATTTACCTTCTGAACACTGAGGAATGTCACAGACTTCGTAGCGTACCTCTGGATTGCTTGTGAAACACCATGGTCCCCCTTCTTCCCCTCGAGGATTTCGACAGTAGTTTTCCTGTAGGTCTTTCCCCCGATAGCTCGAAGGCAAAAAGCTAGTTTTAAAATGATAATCATTACAGTATAAGAGCATGCAACTTTATGTGGGGCCTATTGATTTTTATTAATTAGTGGATATGTTTTTATAAATATAGGAAACTAGTCTTTCCCATCTACATGATTTTAACTTAAATTCTGTAATTTCCATGTATTCTTAAAAATATTTGAATTCCATTCAAGTTCACCTGACCAAACTCTCATACTCAATATTAGAATTTAATTAGCATGGCATTGCCACACAATTTCAGCATTCTACTCAAAAGTAGAACACTTTCGGCAAGGTCAAGTAGGAGAGAACTGAAAAATCATGTCAGTGAACTTGAAGATATTATTGCACAATTTATCTAAGTCATTACCTGCTTCTTTAGTGCTTTTCTTATGCAGAAGAGTCTTTCTTTGGTTCAGCACAATTGAAGAACAGATTAAAGATATTTCATTCATAAAAAAAATCAGAATCAATTTAAACTCTATTGTCAGCTTTCTTTTACCAACTATGAAACCCCAGCAAGTAATGCTATTAACTTATCTATGCAATTAATATAACAATAGCTGGTAAAATATTATACCTTATAATGTAGCTTTAAGATGTTCAAAGGCTAATTGACACATAACAAATGTTACTTATGATTAAACACACCCTACTTAGTTGTCTCTAAGAATAGAATTACTTATTCTCTCTAAAACATTTGAATATATCCATGCATGCTGATGAATGCCAGAAATCCCAATTTCTTGAGAAGCAAAGAAAGGATAATCACAGTTCAAGACCAGTCCAAGCAAACAAAAAAAATAGCTAATATTTTATCTTAAAAATAGCACACATAAGAACAAAACACAAATAATCGAGCTATGTACAGTGGTCAATGCGTATAATCCTAGCTACTCAGGAGCCAGAAAAAGGAGGCCAAGATCTGAGACCATCCCTGGGAAAATATGTGAGAATCTATAAAATAAGCCAAAGTAAAAAGGTCTGGGGGCATGGCTCTAGTGCTTACCTAGTAAACATGGGGCCCTGAATGCAAACACCAGTATTTCCAAAAAAGAAAAAAAAAGATAGTCATCTTAATAATATTTTTGTGTTTGGTGCTATCAGTTTTAGTTCAAACTAGTCAGTCCCACACTGGGCAGTACTTTCAATACATCATCTTCCCCTGAAATTTCTAATGCCTTAGTGGTAGTTTTCTTGAACAGGCATAAAATATTCCTTCATATCAGAGCAGGCCAAACCAATGTTTATCTTGTATTGTTTATAGTATTGGATCCAATGATGTATAGATGGCTGCACACAAAAATTACAAAAACATAAGTAAAAAATTTTATGAAAAACCAATTTTATTCTTAGTATTTTAGTTAGGTCTTACTAAAGCAGTTTATTTCTCTTTTACTAAGATTAAAGTTCTACAAAATTCTAAAGTCCAAGAATTTTAATGTCTCAATAAAGATGGTCCTATTCAATGAGGCTTCTAGTTTAAAAAAATGTATAGGCCAATTAATTTCCCTGAGTTGTTAATATACATAAATCAGAACCTCACATTGTACTTTATAAATAAATACGGGCAACAAGAAACAGAAAGAAAAACAAAAAATTTGAAAAAAAATCACATTACGATATGTTGCAACACAGAATAAGCACAACTATACGTCAGGTACAAAGGAACATTTTGAAATGAGATACTTGCATTTGGTCATCATCATACCTCAGAGGTGAGTATTCAGGAAGTATAAAATAGTGGTCAAAAGAGTCTAGTCTAAAAGTTTTACTACTAGCTAAACATGTTTAGAGAAACAAATTAAATATTATAAACATGTACAACTCCATAGTCATTAGGTAGAGAGTTATATCCTTCCTTCACTAACATTTCAAGTATGTGAAATGAAAATAAAATATCGGGTCATATAATGGACAAAAGCTGTAATGTAATTAAAATAAATAAACTATCACGGTTCATGATGCTAATTTTCAAGAAGAATAGGACCATTTGTATTCTGTCTACATTTTAGCCCCCATCATTCTAGAATATTTGTGTGTCTTTTGTTTGTGACATTGTCTGAAATTTACTCTTTTTCATTTTTGACACATTTCTAATTTATATAAAATATTCACTTTTTCTGACAGAAACCAAACTGAAAATTATATTTTTATGAAGTAATGCACTTCCCAAGCTTATATAAAAAAATTCTCCTGTAATTCTCTATTACGTGTATATGTATATATATGTGTATATATATATATATTTGCACATATATAGAGAGAGAGACAGACTGACAGAGAGAGACAGAGAAAGAAAAGATACAGAAAGACAGAGAGACAGAGACAAAGAGATAGGAATAGTAATTGTTCATCACAAGATGCACATAGTTGCCTCAAACACCACCTAACCACTTGACTGGTACTGACATAAATCCTTAGAAAATTTATTTACCAAGTTACAATTTCTTCTTCACTTTTAAAAGATGATTAGAATAAACAAGATATAAGCAACACAGAAATGTTATTTTTCTGTGTCATTTTTATATTAAGTTTACTTAGGAACTAAAGAGTGGTTTTAACACATTCTATACACACATATTCACTATGTATAATATTAGAGAGGATTATTTTTCTGCACACAAAGGGAGGAGAAGGTAAATTAAAATTCACTCTCTCTTTCTTTTACACACACACACACACACACACACACACACACACCACTATAGTAAACTTGTAAAGTGATACAGAAGATGTATAGAAAGCCAGGCGCTGGTGGCTCACGCCTGTAATCCTAGCTACTCAGGAGGCTGAGATCTGAGGACCACGGTTCAAAGCCAGCCCGGGCAGGAGAGACCATGAGACTCTTATCTCCAATAAACCACAGAAAACCGGAAGTGGCGCTGTAGCTCAAGTGGTAGAGTGCTCGCCTTGAGCTGAAGAGCTGAGGGACAGCACCCAGGCCCAGAGTTCAAGCCCCACGACCGACAAAAAAAAAAAAGAAGATGTATAGAAATGGTGAGTGTATCAGCCAGTAATTTTGTAAGAAAGAAGAGGTTGAAAAGAAAAGAGATAAAATAGAAATCAAAACTACATATGGACAAAGGACAAAAATAGCTTTGTCCAATTAACTCCACTGAGTAAATAAAATGAATAATACAATGAAATGATAAACTAATTTATATAACTGAATCAATCAATTCTGACCAATTTCCTCTTTAAAACATGAAAGGAATGAATATCCAATGATGATCTTCTCTTTGTTCTTTGGTGTATTTGACTTCTACATAAATTAACTAGCTTTCTTTGATGTCCCAAAATGTCATAAGAATTTCTTCAACCTCCCATACTTGGTCAAGGGATGTAGCCTAGCTCTTTTCACTTATAGGTATGTGTTCACTGGACAAAAGTTTATGACACTTACTTCACACAAGGCCTGTGCCAGGCTTTTGATGCCATAATAAGCTTTGATTCACACATGTACTAATTTTAGTGCTTTGTCCTTGCTGTTAACAATGCTTTAAGAGATAAGTGAAGAAATATTTAAAATTGGGATATATCCAAATGTACTTTGAAATATAAACTAGGTCTGGGTGCTAGCCTCCCTTTCTTTTCTTTTTAATATAAACTGCAGTCATAGGAGACTTGATCCATTCTATCATCTACTTCATAAATGAATGTGGGGGTAGCTAATGAAGGATATAGATGTAGATATCAGGTCACCTGATTATCTGGTTAAGCTTCTACATTAATTTCACCATCTATCATCATCTTTTCATTAAGCCACTTGTAAAATATTTCAATTTAGGGAGTCAACAATAAATCATTCCTCCAGACAAAAATTTATTTCTTGTTTAATTTTTGCATTGCCCCCAAAATGCATCTTTAAGCTATCATGTAGGTACTCCAGTAAGTTGCTAATTGATGAAAATTTTTATTCCCACTGGATACAAAAAAAGTATAAGAATATTATCCTCTTAGCTGTAAACTTCTGTATTATTGGTAAGCTGGTTGATTGGACTGGCAAACCGGTTCCCAGGGAGATCTATTTCACATGTGCTCCTGGAGCAGAGAACCACAATCATACAGAATTTAGGTTGAAATAAGACCTCTACTAGATCAGTCCAATGCTCTTTCCTGGGCTAAGGTGGGATTCATTTCAAATGCTATTTCTTTGATCGGAAGAACCTTAGAACTGTTTATTTAAATACAAAAGTTTTCTAAACTATGCAGACCTTTTAGAAGAGGAAAATTTTCTTTATTTAGAAATATAAAGATGACTGTTTCTGAAGTATTCCTACGCAATTGTTAGTAACACAAAGAAAAATTGTTTGGTTTTTTTGTTGATGAACTACTGTAGGGGCTGATCAGCTTGGCTAGTGACTAGTCGGTATTAATAAGGTCAGGTTTGATCCTGGTGTAGAACACACACTTTGTGTGCAAGGGTAATTGACTTATCTGTTTACTAAAACAAACTCCATCCTCTTGCAAGATTATGTCTAAATATGGAATGAAAATTGTATTCATCCAAAGTCATCGCATTTTGCTATTGCAAAACTGAGTAACCACATGTGTCCTACTGACAGGCCAGCTGTTTCATGCCCTGGGGTTATTGAAAACAGAGGTTACAGAGTAATACTAGCTAGGAGTATATCCTACGCAAACCACTTTCTACTTGTGTATCATCCTGAAAACTATTAAGGTTCCTTGTGTTTTTGTTGAACCATGTATATAAAGTAGAACTCATAAAACCACCCCCTACTGTTTTTGTGAGTATTGCATAAAATAAACCAGTAAGCTGCTCAGCAAGGTACTTGGCACATGGTAAACTAATCCCCCAATGTACTTATTGACAAGAAGAGATTTCTTTTAAAAACGACATTGGCTATTCTTTAAAATATTTGTAAAGTAAGTCTGGAAAATGCTGACTGAATTCAGTCCTCTAGTAGGTTTTATATATTTATCTTATTCCTCCCATGTGATTAAGATTCTCTATCTTCTGAGCTTATGAATATGTTTTCTAGTCATTAAGTAGTAGTCTTCTGTTTTAATAAACACAATTATCTCCAGTGTAGCCATTTAGCTTCAAAAGCCTGAATTTTCTCTATTTTTCAATCAAGATATGAAATGAAAAAGTACATAAATCTGAGGCATGACATTTTAGCAATGGTTCTCCATTTAATTCATCTGAAGAGCTTTCAAAAAGCTGGGTAATATATTCCTTCTAGAAATTCTGATTTAATTGCTTGGTGTTGTGGGGTGTTTGCAAGACTTGCAGTTGAATATTTTTTAATTTGTAGCCAATGTTGGGTTCCAGAGGGATAAAAGGACAATTAGCTTCTACAGGTCAGAGTCTAAATCACAGTCAACATCTTTGGCTACCTAGTTCTTTCTCAAAGGCCAAAATGAAGAAAACACTGTCTTAAATAAAGTTTTCATTATTTGTTCAAATATCAAGATCTATAAACTGCATTAAGAAAACATTAGGCCACAACTTAAATGATAAATTTGTTCTTCTTTTTATCTAGATCAACATGAATTCATAAATCCCTGGGCTTCCTAAAGGGACTAAGTCTCTTTACAGCTCAACAGTGTTGACTATAGGTTGTTCTAGAATTGTAAATTCTTCTCGAATACTAATTTGAGGCCATTAACTGCCAGAAAGGAGAGGCTCCATTCCTTTTCTTCATGCTGTTCTTACCTGTGTTCATGAGGTATCATGGAATTCCAATGCTGACACTTGATGCCACTCTTTGTGATAGACACTGTTCCCTTGTAGCTTCCCCCTTTACCAATGATGCAGTTCCTAATGTAGTCTATGGAAGAAAGTAGAGAAATATGCTATAACTCTGTGAATCTCATGCTAGGTTTACTGAATAGAAAAGAAAGATTCCATTGAAATCTGAAAGTAATTAACTCTTGTAAACTATTTCAAATAACACTGAAAGTTCTTGCCTAAAGCTTCAAGGAGTATTTTCAAAATAGCACATTTCATAATAATCCAAACCAAACAAATAAAAGTGTATTGAGAAGCTTTAATATTGTGAGTATAGTTTTCATGGGTAATTACAGAAAATAGTCACTGAAAGTAACATAGATTAGCTGTTATATACAAGGTGATTGTGATCTGCTAAAATATAGGGAAAATAGGTAAGAAAATGATAAAAACAATTTTTTCAAGATCAATTTAAATTTAAAAGATTATCTTGTGAGTTTTTTTTTTAATTTATTTATTTATTTTTTATTTGTGAACATACTGTACAGAGGGGTTACAATTACATAGGCAGGATAATGCGTACATTTCTTACCAAGCATTGCAGCCTCCTCCTTTGGTTTACCCTTCACATTCCTTCCCAGCCTCCCTATCTTGTGAGTTTTTATTTTGAGTTTTTACATATGTATATACATGAGACAATTACATTATTTTATATATTTGCTAAATTTCAGCTATTAAGTTATAATTACGTGATAAGATGCTATATATTCCTAACAAATAATAGTAAGTGTAGCTCTTAACAAAATTAGAAGAAACATTAAAAATGCTCAACAAGAAATGTACTCATTACCTTACTCATGTAAATTTAACCCCTTTGTACAGCATCTTTACAATAAAATAAAATTTAATAGAGAATGAATTTATGCTAGATCATGAAATCTTGTTTATAATTTGTAGAATTATTTGTGTAGAGATTATTCTATTTTGTACCATGAAATTTACTTTGAATTTTATTAAACATTAATCCAATCAACATGAAAACATACATCTATAGCTTCAAATATCTAAATTTAATAGGACAAAGCAGGTTTAATAAAGCATTAATGGTAACAAAAGTGTTATTGTCAGAAGTAGTCATAACCCATAATTATTTTGTGATGACATTTAATTTGTAAAATTAATATGCATTTAATATTCTAAGATTATCCCATCACTGCATTACTCATCCAACATTGTTAAAAGTAGAAAATATCCCAGCCAACTCAAAACATGCCACAATATAATGTATTATAATCTAATGATGCAAGATCACACCTTTTAAGGTGAACATAGAAAACATATTCTTTGAAAAAAGTGCCAAGAGAGAGTGGGGAACCTGGATTATAGATACATTTGGGACTCTGCTCTACAAACTAGAGAACCATACTAAAAATAAGATACAGACTTCAAAATAGATCAACATATAATAGAAAAGGTGTGGGAAAAAAACATGTGGCAAAACATTAGAAAGTATATTTCATACTTTACTATGTAATCATTAGAGAGCAGCCCCTTACCTTTGTTTTCATAGAGGTCGAATTCATGGCCAAACCCTTTTTTCACTCCACTAGACATGCTGTTGAAGGGGAACCAGAGACATCTTTTTCTTGCTTTATCAAAAACAAAGGCCCTGAAAGAAATATCTGAGTGAAAAGAAGGAATACTACTATTGAACGATTTTTAAAGAATGGGCACATGGTTTACCAAGGAGGGCAACATAAAAAATGATGCATTATTATATTTCATATAGATAATAAAATGTAAATGATATACAAACCTACAACTTGACAGTCAAACAGCAGAGAACAAATGAAGTTTTTTGCAAAAAAAATTAAATATGACATCTTGGGAAAGTTATTGCTATTCTAAATAACTTGTAGAAAAATAATGTCTTCAACAAACAGAATCAACATGTAATACAAAAACCTGGATTATTGCTGAATATGTCTTATTATTTCTTGAATTTTCCCAGCAAGTTGGAAAATTTGATGGCAATTATATAGAGCTAATTCAGTTTGAGATATCATGATTAATTTCCAGTTGTAACTTTATAAAACACATCCTTAAAATGACATTTTCTAAGGTATATCTAAGAGATTATCACCCCAAGAAGTCTCCTAGGAAAGAGAAATTTGAAATCAAATATTTGAAACTTTTAGCATAAAATCTCTCCAAAAATCCTAAAATATTAACGACTATTAAAATATTGCTATAAGAATAACTGCTTATTTAAGCCAATTTGGGCACTGTCCTTGAGCTCTTCAGCTCAAGGCAAGTACTCTACCACTTGAGCCACAGTGCCCCTTCTGGTTTTCTAGTGGTTTTATTGGAGAGAAGAGTCTCACAGACTTTCCTGCCAAGGCTGGCTTTGAACCGTTTTCCTCAGATCTCAGCCTCCTGCATACATAGGATTACAGATGTGAGCCACCAGTGCCCGCTTTTTAAATACCCCCTGGGAAAAAGGGTGCAGGGTTTCTAGTTTGGTGATCCTTTTAATCTTTTTCTCTCATTCTTTTGCAATGATATATTCTTCTAAGAGAAGGATTTTAATACTATTTTACATTTCCATATAGAGTGTAAGGCCATCAAATTCCATTAATTGTCTTTTCTTTTAAATGTAGCTTTAAGAAGGGGAAACAAAGGAGGAGGCAACAATGCTTGATAAGAAATGTACTCATTACCTTGCTCTTGTAATTGTAACCCTTCTGTATGGTACTTTCACATTAAAAAAAAGAATATTTGTCTTACCCTTATTTTAATTATCAACTTTTCTGAACTGTATTTTGTCTATTTTTGAATTCTTACATCAGGGAAACTTTGACTACAGTGTGGGGGAAAAAAAGATAATTTGATTCATTAAGAACAGAATTTAAGGATTTAGTTTTTAAGGCTTGTATGCATACCATGATATACACATTTAATCTCCATAACCAATGTATTTAGTGAAGTGAAGATGGGAAAAATCTTGTTTTTCTGGGCAGAAGCATATTGGCTAATACACAGGTAATATTATATACCCCTTCATGTGTATTTATGTATATGGAACAGGTTGCCATACACTCAGATACTAAATATGATCTAACTAGATTATGGTAGGAAAATCTGAGACTTCATATATGAGACATAAGAATATATATTAAGAAGGTCATGTATTCTCCAATTCAGCAAAATCTTTTTAGTCTACAGTAAGAAAAAAGAAGTAAGAATGATGAATTCTACTATTGAGTGGTAGAAATACTTTCCATACTTGTGAACCTAGAAGAGGATATTTTCAAATGTAAAATTAACAGTTCAATGTGGTTCTCCTAATACATTTGCTGTCTCCTTCAAACCCCAAGAAAAGACAATACAGTTCAAACTGCTGTGTTACCAAAAAAAATCCCTATAAATCCATATAGCTGAAGTGTTGATTGAAATTATCCTTTTCTAACTTCCCTGTTTTCAGTGTATTTGATGTTGGTGTAATTTGTGGAGGGGAAGGGAAAAAACAAATTGTTTAAATAGGGATACAGGTGGACCCATTGCAACAGTGAGATGTACAAAACGTTATGTTGAAAAACGAACTTTACAACTTTGGTGTGGGGGGGGGGATGTGTGGGAGGGGATGGGGATGGGAAGGGATGGGAAGGGGAAACAAAGGAGGAGGCCACAATGCTTGACAAGAAATGTACTCATTACCTTGCTCATGTAATTGTAACCCCTCTGTACTTGCTCATGTAATTGTAACCCCTCTATACAGTATTTTCACAATTACAAAAATCATAAAGCTTTCACACAAAAGTCTGGAAAGGAAATAAAATTATCTTAGGGATAAGTCAATTCCCAGTCTCCTTGCCAGGAAATATCTCTCTGAAAGTGGTAGTTTGTCTATAAAAATAGAAAGGACATATCTTCCCCTCTGCCTATCTTGAAGACCTTCCCTGACCAAGTCCTTTCCCTGAAGGCCTAAATGCTTAGTTCTCAGAGACAGGCAAGATTAAATTAGTATCTCTCTCTGTGGCTTTTATGTGTCACTGTCCAAATGTAATAAACCAGAATGGGAAATCCACAAAACTTTATGCGCAGTCTTATTTTACATTGGGGTGAAATACAGACTAAAGGAATAGAAAATTAATGAAGGGAAAAGATGTTTATGAACAACATGGTAAGGTATCATCTTCTGAAATGAAATTGTCACTTTTCAGGTCCAAATTTATGAGTTTTATCCACTGTGATTGCTGGCAAGATGGTAAGGAATGTTCCTCCCTGTTATGTCACTCCATCTGTGTTAGGTCACTCAGCCACTGTTAGGAACTGTCAGAAGGTCTGGAAGTCTCCAGCTGAGTTCCCTTGGGCCTATGAGTTGCTCAGTCACTTTTCACCTGAACCCTCATCAGCACTACCTCTACATCCCTTTAAATAGCTAGCACCATCTCTGCTGCTGACACAAATTTCTCAGGTTTTGTTTTTGTTTTTAATCTATTCCTTTCAACACCTTTTATTTAAATCCCTAAAGACAACAGAAGATGTAATAAATTTTGACTGAGGCTTGATTTTAATTCTGAAAATCCTTCTACTTTTCTTACAAGGGAATAAATGTTTACTCTGAATACAATGTTTTAAAATGAAAAGTTAAATGTCAGCTGATTTGATTAGGTTTCTCTAGTTTAATTATTCAAACGATGAATGAAAAAATCCATAACCCAATCCACTGTATACTGGAATGCACGTTTAGTAGTCTCCCGCACTACAGCTATATTAACATCAACTGACAGCTAAGTCTTTTATTATAATTAGAACTAGACTCAAGCTTAATGTGAAAGATTAACAACATTGAATATGAAACTAAGAAAAACACCATTATCATATATACCTGCTATATTTGAAAATTATCCTGAGACCAAAATGAAGCAACTTACTTGCAAGTGAATGGAAGTCCTTTATTCCTAATACATCTATTTGCACACTGGTCTGCTGTGTTCATTTTTTTTGTCTTAATCCTCAATAATGGATCTTCTTTGATTAGAGTAGTCTTGGCTGACTTTTTGAATTCATGAAGTGTATTTCTTCTTTTCTTCTGTCCCGCTATTAAAACAAAAACCCAAAATAAGGAAGAAAGAAAAAAATTATTTAAGGCTGATAATGAAAAAAAAAAAGCTTACCCTTATAGAACATGGGTGATGTGACTATTTTATCTGAAAACATACTCAACTTCCAGAGGCTGGGATGGAGTGACATGGGAAATAGAAGTAAGAGGAATATTGTTATCAAGGAAAAACAAATAATATGCCATGTAGACTTACTTATCTACATTCCTTCAAGTGAAGGATGCATCTAAATATTGGGACAAGGACCACCCCAAAGAAGTAAACAAATAACCCTAAGAAAATAATTGTTAAATAAACAATTAGTACAGAGTTCAGCCTAAAAATGTTCTATTCTCCATATGACAAGGAAGCACATTTCAGTGATAGAAGCATAGTATGTCACACATCACAGTTAAACAGTTCATGTTCTTCTACAACTATTCCTAATTTAAGTTAGAGTGATAATTGAATAAGGTAATTCAAAAGCCAATGATAAACTTCTCAGTAAAAATGCTGCAGTGGACAAATTTATCTGATTTGTTCTGTAATGCATACTATACATAGTTCAGTCCATCTCTTCTTCTCATTTACTACATAAGTGTTTTCTGTGCTTTGGTGAACTATTTCTTAGTATCACTGAACTGTTTGTCTTGAGATCAAGCCAAATGTTATAAATCAAATGTATGTAAAACTTCACCCGTTAATGTAGCAATATCATTTTTCTTTTTGAAAGTACAAGACCTCTAGATAGCATGAAACTTCCTACTAAAAGCCTCAAAGAGGGAACCAAAGTATCCTAAAAGCCTTATGGACATTTTGAGAGTGCTAAAAATTTATTTCCCTGTTCTTGATTTTTCCCTTGTCACCCCAGTCTAATAATAATTTGCCGCATCACAATATGGATTTACGTGTCTAATAGACTTACACATCTATCATAAAAGAGGCATGGAAGTGCCTCTTGGCCTGTCAATTGTTTGAACACATAACAAAAGAAGATTCTTGGGCTGGGAAGGTGGCTCAGTGGTAGAGCGCTTGCCTTGCATGCATGAGGCCCTGGGTTCG